CTAAGGCCATGTAGTACTTTGTGGAAGCATATGTGCATTCTAAGGCAAAGGATATTTTTCTTCAACAACACATTAGTGAATGAATGAATGAATGAATGAATGCATACATGCATACATGCATACATGCATACATGCATACATACATACATATTAATCTAATGCTGTGGGGGAGATACACTCCAGCCTCCCTCCATTCCAGAGAGCAAAATTTCTTTGGCCAACACTGGGTTCAGAGACCAAGATAGAGTTTTAGGTTTGTGGACAGATGGGTGGGGGGAAGAATGCTTTGGGTCCAACATACTAAGGGTCATGGTCCTCCCAATGCTGTCTGATTGAGCAAGAGCAACAATGAAAACAAGGCAAGGAGGCATAAAGAATACATCCTCCACCATTTTAGAACAACTCTCTTTTTCCTTGAGACCCACAGAAGCTGCAGCCTAAGCATGTCTCAGATTGTTAAACATTTCTCTTTGGGCTACCATTGTGAGTATAGACATAATCCTGGATGGTTGTACTAACATTGGCCAATGATCACTGAGCCAAGAGGTCCTACCACTCTTTTGATGCTATGACCGCTCTGAACATGGAGGCTGTACAGATTTTATGTCATGGTCCTAACCTATCCTTTGCTGCACCTTGGAGCAATGAAAGGGCGAAGCCCACTGGAAATGTGACAGTCAACTTTTGGTGGCTGAGGATAAGCTAGTTAGATTGTTAGTATCTGTAAGAATATGAGAAGATTCCTGTCCTATCACACAAAAAAAGTCTGAATAGTTCAGTATTTTCACAGTGGCTACCCAGATGCCTCAGACAAGCTCATAAGCAGATATGAAGACAGCAGAAACGCTGTGCTCCAGAATCTGCCCTAACATTAGGCAAAGCTGCCCCAGGCTCAAACCAGATGATGCCAATAGCACATCATTAGGAACAAAAAGATGTTGGTGTTCCAGATTTGCAATAGGCTCTGAGCAATCAAACTTGCAAACAAAGCCTGTGTTTGCCTCTGGATGACCAATCACAAAACAAAGCAAACTATTCTCTGTTGACAACATGAGAATTGTATCATCTAGTTTGATCTTATGCAGTCAGTTTTGAGTGTCATGAAAGTTCAGTCACTTGCAATTTACTCTGTTATTATTTCATATTTCTGGCAGGGAGGGAAAGAGATGCTGGTTAGATTTTTCTGACTCAGACAGGAAAATATTTTGGGTGGCTTTGAATACTATGCACCTTGACTTTGGTGGGAGGAAGTTTTGGCTCAAGCCACCAGATGTCTTGGGCTGTCCCTGAGTATACTGCCTCTAAAACCAATGGTTGCAGGTAGCCATCATGGCTAACAGCCTAAGAGAGATCTCCTTCAAGAACATCTATTTTTCTTCGCTATATTCCTAGCTAGTTCAAGATAGATGGTACTATGATTTCTTCTAACTGAGAAGTCTAGATGTGTTGACCCTGTAAGCCTGGACTCTATTACATCTCTAAGCCTAGAATATGGTATAGTTGGATGCAAGGAGACATTGCACAAACAATTCCCTAAGATATAGAGCTTCAATGCATAGCATGGAAAAGTTCCCTTTTTTTTTGGACTCCAAAAATCCCCAGCTAGCATGGGAGGTATAGCTTAAAAACAAAACAAAACTTTCCCATGCTCTAACTACAGCCAGTTACTCCTTCTTAGTTCCTGCCCGTTTATGTGTCACAATATGGGTATGCTCAGTGTTGGCTGTTCATAATATATAGAGATATATCAAAGACACACACCTACTGTCATTGCAAGGCTGGTTGTAATAGCAACAAACCCCAGGCAGCAATGTTCTGCGGCCATCATGACATGGCTAGTGCCAATGTGACCAGCAATTTTCTAAAGACATTACTTAAAGGATAATAGTCCAAAAAGACTATTTTGTAGGATTTGGTTTCACACAACTGTCATGCAAAACATAACTCTGTTGGATTATAGTCAATACGTTTTATGCAGCATTGTTGTGATAAATTGGATGTCTCGCCTATCTGTATAGAGAAATACAGTAAAGAGCTATAAAAGTAAGCTGGAAAAATGGTAGAGAAATGGTGTGATAAAGGAGTTCAGGAGAGCAAACTTTTAGCCAAAATGTCAAACAAGAAGGCAAGAAATAAAAATAGCAACTGAAAGATATGTGGATGTTGGATTTCAGTGTATATGTTGAAGACTACATTGTGATGCTACTGTACATGTAATATTCTGAAATAACAGAATGGGATGAACTGAAGTCTTGTGCACAATAACACCTCCCTTTCTATGACAGATAATTGGAAGATTGGGTTTCTATTAAATAATGCCCATCCAGAGGAACATACTTCTACCATGTGGCCTCTCAACACAGAAGCTGAGGGGCCATGTGTCCTTTTATTTTATTTTTTTACTGGCCAGCAGTAAATCTGCCAGCAAATTTCTGGTGCTTTGCCTAAAATAAACTTGGAATGAATAAATAAGGCTCCTGAATTTGATGTTGTCCAGGTATAGTACTAACTGACTTGTAATTGTCTCTCCACCCCCATGCTGTGCCCATGTGTAATACACAGTTTATCTCTCACCATTTAGCTTTGTAGTGTGGCTCTACATTCTAGACATTTGTTTTAAAGATGAGAGTACTATAGATCCTCTGAATCCAATGTACTCAAACCCAAGCTCCTTTCCTAGCTGTTGGAATAATTGTAATACCAGATGAATCCTTATAGCTCGAATGGTATTTACTGTCCCATGTAAATGAGTACAGAATGCAGTCTGAATATATAATTAGAACCCACACTTGTTTTATTTAATTAATTCATTTCCATCCTATGCTGCTCTTTTAATAGTGTGTTCAGTGACTCTGTGACATTTATTCAGATGCATAGTGGTGGGTGACCACGGTACATTTTCTCATGTTGACTTGAGAATATTGTTGTTGCTGCCACTATAGTGCTGTCTGTTTGCACAGTGCCTTAGAAGAATGAGAGGACATGAATTCCTGGCTCAGAAAACTTGCCATCCAGGAACTGAGACCAAGCAGACAACAGAGAGAATAGAAAGCCAGGTAGAAGCAAGGAGAAGAATGTGAGGTTAACATATAGCTTTAAGAAGATCCATATTGGGTCAAACCAAAGACCTATTTTTACCCTGCATTCTGTTCCCATGTTGGCCAACTGAGATGCCTGTGAGAAGCCTACAAGCAGGATATCTTGCTTGTAGGCTTCTCACAGCTATATCATAGATATATTGCTACAAACAAGATACGAGTGTTTTCCCACTCATTATGCATATCAACAGCACTCATGATTAGTAGCCATAGGCAACCTTATCCTCCATAATGACTGCTGCAATATTATGTATATTTAGCTGGGAGTTAAGCTCCACTAAATGCAGATAGAATTAAATCTGAATACTCATGTACAGGATTGTGCCAAAGGCTTCCCAGCCTGTGATGCCCTAGTAGAGCACATGAAGCTGGCATAGCCAATTGTCATGGGTGATGGGAATGATGGTCTCAGAGGGCACATATATAGGGGTCTAGTTCATGAAAGCTAGAATGTATTTTGCTCTATCTCTTACAAAGCTATCGGAGATCAGGTTGGACAGCAGCAACCTACGCACAACTAATAGTCTCAGATTGGCATAATCTGCCACTTGCAAAATGTGTCCTCCAGATATCTTAGATCATAATTCCCACAATGCCACAGCCCACTGTGAGGGCTGCACTACAGCCATGACTGATAGCTGGTGTAAAGATGAGTTGGACTGAATCTGCAAGTACTCCTGTCCCCATCTTCTTTGGGACTTGAGGTCTCTTAGTAACTGGACAAAATAAAACAGTCACAATCCTGTTGCACACTTATATTGCAGACTTAAGTGCAACAGAAGAAATCACAATGGTAAACAGCGGCTAATTATTGAATCGCCACTTGCATTTCTGATTGTGCACCAGTCACATGTGGTTGCCACCTGCTTTTGCTCTCAGCCAAACCAAAACTTTACAGATGGTTGCAAGACTGAACAGAGAATGCAATATATATATTTAAAAAAATCCACAGGCACTCTTACAAATGCTAATAATATGGGGGAAAACCCTTTCATTAGAATCACATGAAATCAGTGCAGCGTTTCTGCACAAATCTAAGGTACAGTGTACGACCCCAAATGATGTGTTTAGCATCAGTCTAAGAACAGTTTTAAAAAAACAACAACTGCATTTCTAGCTTTAACTAATCGTAAAAACAACACACTTAAGCAAAAATAATGCTATTGGGCTGCTGGAGTCTCACCATGTCTCACTCTTGACCCAAATGTTACAATGGTGTATATGTGACAGTTTGGGCATTTTTGTGGCATTTGAGTCGGTCCTAATGAAACAGATTTTCCAAACTGTGGATGCTGGAGATTTTTCACCCTCATGAACCAGCACTGCCACATTAAAAAAAAAATCTTTGTAAAAAGACCGCATGGAATTGGCAAGCCGGACGTCTCCCTATTCCGATTTTTAAAAGAACAAACATTTGTGCGCGCCTCTGCTTGACTACATATGAGAACAGCCCCAAGTAGCCGGTAAAACGTCCGCCTCCAAAATCCAGGGAGCGCTTTTACAGTATTTGGACCCGCGCACATTTTAATTTGAAACCGAACAGAAGCTGGGAGGGTGGGAAGAAACCTCGTGTCTTATAATACAGTGCCATCTAGCGGCGAACCCGTGTATGTCACGCGTTCGACGCAAGAGACGAGGGAAATTGCATGGAACGGGACGGGGGGGGCGCGCGCGTAAGAAGTTTGTTGAATTTGGCTGCCTCCCGCTCGCCCCCCTCGCGCACCACAGCGAGTGTTGCCATTGCGATCTGCTTCTGCTGTCAAGATTTTGTCGTTCATCTGCACTGCAGCTTTCATTAAAGTGAAGCACACCTTTGAGCTACATTATTCATTTTAAATTAACTTTATTACCAGCTTCATGGAACCATTACCAAAGAAAGCTCTTGAAAAAGGAAGCCGCGCGCCATAGGCCTTCCCCCGCCCCCCCTTCAGTCAATTAACAAACTTTTTCTGTTCATCAGTCATCAGTCGCCAGCCAGCCAGTCTGTTCTATTTAAATACGCTGGCTCTTCCTCTGTCTGTCTCTCTCTCTTTTTCATTTAATGCATCCCATCTGTTTCTGAAATAAATTGCAATAATCCGTGTTTAATGTTAATCAATGTATTACTAAATATGCAAATTATATTAAAAGACGTGGTTTGAAAAAGCTTTCATTTGTAAATATGGTATCTCAAAAGAAGAAGCATATCTAAAAGCCATTTAGCTACAGTAGCCTAACTCTAACACGGTGGCGGATTCATAAAGCGGTTCGCAAGTTGATCTTTCTCCCACAAGGGATATGTAAAACTGTTGCATATCAGATGTTGTTAACATCTGATGGGCTGGTGCTAACAGTGTAAGAGCCTAATTTCCATTGGCATGTCTTTTATATTTAAATTAATCTTATTCCAGCTTTCTAATTTATGTATGTATTTGTTTTGATGTTCACTCTAACATCAGGAGGTGCAGGAGGAGTTTATGAATCATAAGGAAAACATCCTGAACAAGCTTTTAAATAATACTGATAATAATTTCAAATAATAATGCATCAGACCATATATACAGTTCAGAATTGGCCCTGCCACTATCCAGAGTGAGGCAGTTTCCTCCGGCAGAAGGTCCTGGAGGAGGGGGCAGCAGTCTCTGGTTGAAGGAGGCTATGCCATATACTATATACTGTAGCCCAGTGATGTCCAACCTTGGCCCTCCAGATGTTCTTGGACTTCAGCTCCCAGAAATCCTGGTCAGCAGAGGTGGTGGTGAAGGCTTCTGGGAGCTGTAGTCTAAGAACATCTGGAGGGCCAAGGTTGGACAAGCCTGCTGTAGCCTGTTTCAGGCACTATGGAGGGGGTATCCCGGTCTTCTCGTCACTGCCACACACTGTTATCCTTTGTTTCAGGCAGCAAAATACCTTGGGTTGACCCTGGAGTTCTTACATTTCTCCTCTTAAAACACCTTCTGCACAAAGTATTTAGGGGAATGGGGTACTCATGTCATCACTTCAGTTTAGCCAGAAAATGGCACCCAGAAGTGACAAGGAATAACACAGCCCGTACTTCTTCCATTGACTGGCTGGACAGCTCACTGGGATAGGCATTTGGCTGGGGAGCTAGAGTTTGGGAGTTCAATTCCCCACTGGGCCTCCCAGAAGAGCCAGCCTTGGGCAAGCTACGCAGTCCCAGGGCACCCCAGAAGAAGGGAATGGTGAAACACTTCTGAATACTGTCTATCTAGAAAACCCTGAAGTCAGAACTGACTTGACAGAGTACAGTTCTTCTTATTATTACTTCTTCCATTAACTGCTGTTGTAGTGAAGGACCTTCTCAGAAGGCAGAGATGGGAAAAGTTACTCATTTGGACTGGTTTCTGGGAACCACCGTCACCCCAAAAAGTAGTGTTTCCAAGCACTGCCAAAAGGCATCAAAGTACAGTACTGTATAGCCTTAATGGTTAGGAAAGAAAAATATCATGGAGGTTCTTGGCATAGACAAATTCTAAAGATGCCATTGTTCATGTTTGTTGTGCTTAGGATTCTCTGCAAGCTGGTTGCTACTCTGCCCATGAAACCGGGATTCTAGGATGAGTTGGAGGCACAGCCAGCACACCAAGTCAAAGTAGACGCTAGCCAAATCATTCTGGTACATGAGGCCAAAAATCCCACAATTTCTTCTTCTCATCCCAGATAGTAAAATAGCAAATTAATTAATACTATAAACAAACAAACAAACAAACATTTATTTATTTATTTATTTATTTATTTATTTGAGATACTTTTATACCACTTGACTTTGTGACATGCACTACTCTGGGCAGTTAAGCAATCAATATAAGTAAGCTATTTCCAACCATCCCCAAAAACAAAAGGGGAAAAAAAGCCATAATAAACAACAATTGTTGACAAAATTAGAAATCAAAGCCCCAACAAAGAATCAAAACCAGATGATGGCCATGGAAAGTGAATCCAGATTTGCTAATTCCATCTAGATTCCCTAAGCCTACTACCTGGGATGGCTGTCTCACTATGCTTAATGGTAGGGTCAGCATAGCCTGCTTCATATTTGCAGAAGGAACATGAAACAAATTTTCCTGAAGTGGAAGGGACTACTGCCCTGTAAAATACTGTACAAAGATCTGTTGCTTGATATCCTTTTCTGAGTGACAATATTTCTTTGTAATAAGCCTTTAAAGAATGGCTTTCTTGTATCTTGAGGGCCATTACTGAAAAATTCCACTTGAACAAAGGCTAAGTACCCATAAGGGCAAAGGAACTGAAACAGTTTTTTCTATTATGCACTTCACTGTATTGTTTATATTGGACCTATAAACACATAGTTAAATACCTAGTTTGTAAAATTATAATCAGTGAAATTCAGTAATATGTATTTCTTATTGTCAGAGGAACAAACCCTTGAAGCATAAACAGTAACAAAAGTTGTAGTGGTTTATCAGAAACTGATGCAACAATTTCTTGATACTGTATGTACATTGTAGATTGTTAGTGCATGCCTACAAAGCCTCTTTTGTTTATTTCTCCATGGTGTTTTATGTTGTTTCTTTCAGTTAAGCAATAAACCACACTTGACTTGTGGAAGATAAGGATCTATTTGATAGCAATCTGGCATTTTTCTGATTTTACTAGCAGCATAAACCTATCCATGTTTGCATTTGAAATAGTGTGAGGTATGCAAACCATAATTATACAAATAAATATTTACTGATGATTTTTCCTCTGTGCCCCACTACAAGTGAAAATACACATTTATTTCAAATTCCTTTATTAGGCCCTGCACAATATAGCTTCCATTTTTAAGGTGTATCTGAATGTTACGTTCAGTTCTGTGGCTTTAAACAGAATAAAAAGACTACATGAGTAATGAGGCAGGCTTTGCACTGGTACCTCAGATATACCGAAAGAAAGCAGGAGGAACCAGACATGGAGAGATCAACGTTTTAGCTGTAACTGGGTAAAGAGTTAGAACGATTTTACTCATGTCACACTTCCAAGTGCGTTTCTGCTGATGGTAGACATGTATGAACGACAGATCTACAGTCTAGCATCCTATCTGCAATTCTTTGTGCCACCTCTGGATAGAGGTGTTGGATACCAAGAGTATTGGCAGTGATCCACCATCTCCCACTCCTGTGGTGTTATACACCTCTGGAAATGGCTCTTCATTTTCAAATAACTACCATAAGTGCATCAGCTTCTTTTACACATGTCTGTCTTTTAGGGATGTAGCTAGGGTGGGACAACCAAGACTTTGACACAAGATGCTAAATTTAGAGGGCATGCTTTCCCTGGCTGGCAGCTTGGTCTACCACTATGGCAAGACAGCAGTAGACCAGGCCTTCAGGGCAGAACAGGCCATACAGCCAGTAAACCAGGCCAGTGGTGATAGGTTTGGGAGGTATGATAGTTGGTCAACCAGGCCTCACTATGGCAAATGGGGGACTGGTCTAACTAGATTGTAGGTAGACCAGACCTGCCCCAATGGAGGGCGTGTCTACACTATACATCAGGCCCCTTTATATATTAATAAACTGATTTTCTGTACTGTCCGGGCCAGAAGCCTGATGTATGAAGCTGAAGATGGATATGTCCTCCAGTGGGGCAGGCCTGGTCTACCTACTATGTGGTTAGACCAGTCCTCCATTTGTTTTAATGACGCCTGCTTGACCAACTATCATGCCTCCCAAACTCATCACTGATGGCTTGGTTTACTGGTCATACGGCCAGTTCTGCTTTGAAGGCCTGGTTCACTACTGTCTTTTCCCACGGTTAGCTACAGCTTTGCTACCTTTTTTGTTACTACAAACAGGCTTCTTAGTTTAAAATCCAGAAAGTTGTGCCATCCCATTTTTGCCCCCTTAAAAACAGATCCCATTACAGTAACTTATATTTGTGGCAGAACTCAGTGTATCACAATGAGAAAATTGCAAGAGTCCATGTGGTGGTGGTATCTTCGGGCTTGCCGCTTTGGTTTCCACAGCTACCCACCCACCTCTCCTTCCTTCAAGTTCTGAGCAGCAGTGGCAGTGGCAGCCCACCCACCAACCTCTGCCCACCACCTCCCCAGACGGATGGGATCTCAGCCCATCCACCAACCTCTGCCCACCACCTCCCCAGACTGGGCAGGGGTCCCATTACAATCTCCTTTGGAGCCCAGTTCAGCTTCATTCCCCTTTCTGCAGTCTTTCCCTCAGGTAATCTTACGCACCCACACTCTGTCCTGGCTTCCTGCGGACAGCAACACTCGTGAAGGGGCTGACTGCTGCTTCAGCTGCTTGAGGTCTCAGTTTTTGGAGAACAGCAGGGTGATCTCCTACAAAGGAATCAAGCAAACGACCACTTTGTCACTCTGCCATGCTCTCCTGCTGACTCTCTCTTATCATTGGAATAAGGGGAAGGGGTGTGATTTTTTATTATTTACAGTAGTACCTTGGTTTATGAAATTAATCCGTCATCCGGGATGTTATGTAAGGCAGAAATTATGTAAACTGGAACACAGATTGCCATAGCAACGGGGTGGCGCTAGAAACCTCCAGGTGTGATGTGTCCTTTTTGTACAGCTAACCCCCCCCAAAAAATGTAAACCAAGGCATTATTTCTTACGTTGTACAGCGAACCCCCCCCATAAAAAAACGTAAACCAAGGCATTATTTCTTACGGATTTTGGTTCATAAACCAAAAATTACATAAACCGCGGTACATCTGTATATATTTTTCTTTCCAGAGGCAATATAACACTTATCTGATCAGTGCCAACCTGAAAACATTTAGGGAAAAATCACACTACTTTTTGGAGACAACAGATGTTCGACTGAACCCCCCCCATAAAAAAACGTAAACCAAGGCATTATTTCTTACGGATTTTGGTTCATAAACCAAAAATTACATAAACCGCGGTACATCTGTATATATTTTTCTTTCCAGAGGCAATATAACACTTATCTGATCAGTGCCAACCTGAAAACATTTAGGGAAAAATCACACTACTTTTTGGAGACAACAGATGTTCGACTGAGGGGAGCTGACACCCTGCAGCTCCTCTTTTGCATCAGATCAGGTGATCACACAGGGCAGAGAGTGGAGACAAGTGATGCCAGCTGAGTCAAAGCAAAATAAAACCATCCCACCAGCTGAACTAAAATAATATAACTCCCCACTGGGCTTTCCCATGCGTAGCTTTGTGTCAAGCCGTCACCAGTTTTTCATTCGATTTTGTGCATGCCAGATCTGATGCAAATGGTGAACTAAGCGATCAATGCAGATGCCCCAAGAGCTCCATCTTTGAGTGAAAATGACAAAGAAGGACTAGGAATCTATGAAAACAATCCACTCTACCATACACCAGAAAGAAGATTACAGATGGCAGAAAAAAAAGGAAAAGCAATTTGACCTCTAAAAGAACAGCCATTTTTTGTGAAAACACAAACTGTTCTGTTTTTCTCTCCTTCAGTATCCAGTAGGCCCATACACAATAATACTATACAGATTCTGTTATAACACAGCACTTATTTAATATTCATGTGTAATAAAACCTTAGTCATAATTGAATTCACACTTTTCCCATAAAGTTGTTGGAATGTAACTAATTTGACTATAGTTATCATCTTTAAAATCTGAATGGCTCTTTTTACTGAAGAGTTGCTGCAGGACCTCATTATCCCATGGACTTTAATATGCTGGATGTAGTTAAGGGACATGATTTCATCGCTCATGGCTGAGTTCACACCTTTTGCACCAGGGTACCAGTGATTTGTACAAGCTAGATGCTTTAAAAATAAACAGAAATGAACCTGGTCAGAATTCCTTTGTTCAGATCCACCATGATGAGGATGAAGAAAAATTAAGCTTATCACAGGGGGAGAATCCTCCATTATGAAAACAAACAGATTAGAAAATCAAGGCTATAATGCCATCTGGGGGTGTATAGGAATATCACAGCTACTCTGCCTCAGATCTTTCTTAGAACCCTGATCTAACAGCCGCTTGACAGCCAATGTAACCTGCTCTGAACTCCATTAATCAAATTTCATACAAATTTATGAACAACTTCATATTATTCATTTTGGATTTATAAATTGTGTGAAGAACTGTAACACAGTAGTCTATTGCTGCTTTCCCCAACCTCATGCCCTCCAGATGTTTTGGATTCCAAGTCCCATCAACCACATTTGACATAACTGATAGCTTGGGACTCTGGAGAGAACGGCTCTAAAAATCTCAGGGACCCCACATTAAGGAAAGCTGCTGTATGAGATAGACAGTAAACCTCTTTTTTTAATGTTTCATTATTGACTGTGCACAGGCAGTGCCAATAAGCCATTAGCTAAAAAGCTTGCATTCGAATGAGGCAATGGATAATACATGGCATATTTCTATCATCACCAAAACACTCATTAGGAATACTGTAATTATGAATGAAAAGCTATTAAGGATACTGTGGGAGAGATCAATTGAATTTTATACTACAGCAGCATGTCTCGTGGTGCTCATTAAGCAATCTACAATTTCTTTCTAGAATACAGAAATGGTGACAAAAAGAAGGGCGCTCAATTAACTCGCCAAGATGTACGCTAGTGAAAGCTTCTTTAACCTAATTTGCATTGAGAGCTCTCCCATCAATGGCAATTTTCTTTAAACACAGGGGAAGATACAGAGTTTTGCTTGTCTCCTCACTTTTCAGTTCCTTCTGCTGCTTGTCACTTTGTACTCTCAGCTAGGGAAAATGTAAACTGGGGTTGCCCAGTTTAATATTTAGACATGCTGAGCAGAGTGCCTCTGAGCACATGCCAAATTCTAAGACAAATAACTGAAGAATGCATTTGGGTAGATGCATGTTTTTATTAGATGAAACTTCTCCAACACAGTACCCTCCAGACAGGCAGCATGACAGCTCCCATCATCCACAGCCAGCATAGTTGATCAGTTGGGCAGGAAAGATATTTGCTGTATTCTACTGTAATTTGCAGAATTCATGCAAAATGCTGGTGTGCTAGCTTCCATTCCATCACCTGTCAATCCACATAGTAAATTTTCCTAAAGAGCAGCAGCTATTTTATTTATAATGAGTACAATTTTATCTGTAGTAAAGATAAATTCTGCAAAGATTCCCCAAAGAGAAAAAACCTTTAGTTTAAAGCAAACGTTCATCTCATTGGCCAACCTGCTCTATTTAGCATGCATCACTACTGGTATGGAAGAGATGAACTGGGGAAAAAAAGGTTTCAACATTTTTAATAAACAGTCAATCTGCAGTGCAGTCTCATCCACAGTAACATAATTTCAGTTCAATCCAGTTAAATTGTCTTTTGGGTAAAGACTCTCACTCTGTTTAATGGGTAGTCTTAGGCAAGCAAAGGAGCTTTTGTCTCTTTATGGTTCTCTCTTTAGGAAATCAAAGAGTGGATCTTACCTCCTTTGTTTACTCTTGTGGAAGTATAGGAAGGATGGCCATGCTTTGAATAAGGACCTGTGTACAGAGATAAAGGTATTTTATCTCTGCTCAGGTTTTTTTTTAAACGTTAAAGTCAAGTGCATTTTTTTTCCTTTGGAGAATTTCTCTGGAACTTTTGCAGGAAGAAAAAGGATGGAAGAAGTGATGAGACAAGATTGCATTGCTAAGAGAAACCAATAAAAGTTTTTCTGGCAGAGATACAGCCATGAGCAAAAGCTTTATGCTTCTTATACAGTTGCTGAAGGCTCATAGACTCTCTGCACATATAAATTTCCAGAAGCATGGTTATGTTAGCCTGTAGTTGCAACAAAAACAAGTGAGCCATAGGTTATCTTAACAATTACACCCTTTTGTTGGCATGAGGTTTGTGGATTGTAGCCCACTGCATCTAAGAACAGGGAAGCACATACCTAATAATATGTGTTAGCCTTTAAGATGTCACACTAGTGAGTGACTGATATAGCTGCTGGGGTACTTTTGGCCCTTCATAGGGTTAAGACTACCAACTCCTACAGCTGGCCATGGTGACTGGGGTTTCTAGAAATTGTAGACCAAAATTTCTGAAAGACCAGAAGTTCAACAATCCTGGCATAAAGGGTGGCCATCCTAGCTGATATCAGACTTACTGGAAAAGGCAATAATTCTGGGAAATGTCAAAGACAAAAAAAAGAAAAGAAAAGAAATGAAGTTCAAACAAGAATTGGAGTGATCCAGTCTAAAGGAAGTCACAACCTTGAGTTTACAAGATCTAAGCAGGGATTTAATGCTGGGACTTGTTATTATAGTAATTGTTAGCCATGGAGTCACGGTGCCCCACTCCCTCTTCTGGGGCTGCCCTACAATGCTGCAGCTTGCCCAAGGCTATACAGTACAAGCTTCTCTATGGAGGCATAATGGGGATTGAACCCTAAGGGCTCTGCAGGCAGAAAAGCACAGCGGCAGTAGGACTGAACCACGATCGATTTTTCGGCACTCGCATCATTCTGCCTAGTTCAGAAGACAGAGCGGCCGGGAGTCCCAAAGCCGATTCCTTGGAGAGCGGAGGAGACGCTTTGTTTTTGTCCTTCTAAAGGTTCGGGGATCGATTATTCGCGGAAGCTTTTTCCTGGGCGGACTCTGCCGAGTCTCTCTAGAATTAACCAACCGAACGTTAACCCCCCCGCCTCCTTTTTTGGTTTTGTTTATGAAACCGCAACTACGGAATAAAGCGAGGGACAAACTTCCACCGTCAGGGGACTGTTTGACGGGTTAGAACTAGAGGTTCCACTCAAGGCAACAGGGCGTCGATCCCGGCTGCTCGGACTCCGCCTCTCGCGATGCTGCGGTGGCTGATAGGAGGGGGGCGAGAACCGCAGGGATTGGCCGAGGTAAATCGAACCGTTGGTGGACCGTTGGAGGGGGGGTTCAGGGGGGCCGGGGAAGGGCGGTGGGAGGGGTGCCAGTGGCCCCGGGGAGCTCCTTTGATTTTCCCATGATGGGCAGGGGGTGCCGACAAACAAAGCCAAAGGTTTATCCATTGTATTTTATTTTAATTCTCTCAATCATGAAGTGTGATGAAATCGCAAGTGCAGTGACGAAATCAAAGCACGAACGAGATATGTCGTGTACAAAATGCATATACCTCCGCCCATAGAGAAGTGATGGAAACGAAAAGATTGGGTGATGTGGAGGGAGATGATGATGATTATGAATAGTGCGCTGGCAGTGATGGTGGAGAGACGCAGACCGACAGAATAGTTTTTGTTTATATTACTTGTAAGCCGCCTAGAGTAGTGGCTTAAGTCGTTAGAGCGATGGAGTAAAACTGTAAATAAATAATTATGAAAGAATTTAAAGGAGGCCTCAGGCTTAAGAAGCTTAGATATTGCTGGTCTGTAGAAACATACAAGGCATAGGTTTCTGGACCAGAATGAATCCCCTCCAGTTAATGGGGTGGATTTCAGAACTCTCTGTGCTTGTTTGTGGGCAAAGTATGTATTATAGAAGCGGAGACTTGCATAACTTCAAATCCCTCCACTTTTGTTAGGTGACAGAGCACATCAGCTTTCTACAAAGCAATCCCAAAAATGGGGCACCTCAAACAAAAAATTATAATTTTAAAATTGAACTCTGGATTAGCTTGGCACAGCTGTAGCAGACAGTCTACTCTTGCACTGTGACAAATTAGGGGATGTTTGGGCAAAGAGTCCTCAAGCTATGATTATTAAAAAGTGAAACTATTTCTAGAAATAAGTGACCCTTTTTGTCTGCAGATTTGAAACAGATCAAATAAACTGAGAAGACCAATCTTACTTATTTGGAATGAGAAATGGTTGGAACAACCACTTTTTAAAAAAAAATTGGAAGCAATCCAGGTTGCAGGGAGTGAAATACTGATTCTCAAAAAAGTCCTTGCAAAAGGGTGATACAGTGTGACCTATAAACTGAGTAGAACAGGCTCACCAGCAAAGATTCCAAAGTTAGAGACACTGTTGCAAGCTTCTGAAGGGGGGTGGGAAGGGAAATCTGAACTTTTGACTGTCAGTCAGGACCAAATTAGCTGACTCTCAGGAAGAGAACTTTTTAATTCCTTCCTGGCCAAACAGGCATTAAAAGGATCTGGTTTCTGATTGTAATTTTTTTTAACATTTTAAAAAAAGAATAGAGAATAAATATTCAGACGTTTACTCATCTGAGCTGTGAAATTACTGTTTTTGTTTGTGGCAGGGGGTGGCTTTACTTAATGTCAGCACAGCTTTGTTGCCTGTTTCACCCATCTTGTCACTGTAACATTGGTAATTGGGTAAAACAAGCTCCAAAGATGCTATTTGCCACGAAGCCACTTATGATGTGTGGTGACTATACAGTATGAGTTATAGACTTTCGAAATATCCTGTTATTAACAGCTCTGCCCCATCTCTTGCAAACCAACAGCATCCCGTGTTAGATCATTCTCTCTTCCAACTGGTCCTTCCTCACTAGCAATATTGTCTTTTTCAATAAATTCTGCTCACATCTTGCAAACTAAGAGCTGTGCTTCTTCTGTTGAGCTGGCCCATCTCATGTTAGGTGGTAGGTTCCCTGCTTTGAAAGGTAATAGCTGTGTGGGGGGGTTCGTCAATATTTTTATGATGTTCTGAATCAGGAAAGACGAAAGAGGCTCCAGAATTAAGAAATAAAGGATTTTTATTAACATAACTTGTGTCAACTCTTTCTTCAACATCAGTAGGTTTCTGTAACGTCAAACGGGGTGGGGAATCTTCCCAAAACCATGCTAACGATTTCTCAGCAGGTAGATCTTTTAATAATAAGTTTTCGCAGTTTTCTCTTTCTCTGTTGGCACTCTCATGAACCCGTTGCGGACCACACAGAGGGTCCTGCAACAGGGATGGCGGGCCCAATCCCCCTCTTTCAACAGCTCTTTCTCTACTTCCGGATCTAATTGATGTACCATTTTCTCTGGACCGTGAGCCCTGTGATATACCAGAACTGTCCATTTTTCGGGGTTAAGACCAGGTATTATAGGTCTGGACTTTTCTTTAACTGAATCTTTGTACTCTTCATCTATATCACTCTCGGCCAGTCTTTTCTGTGGGACTGAGAACACTCGCGCCTCTTCGTCTGGTTCTTCAGTCACTTTCTCCTCTATCACGGTCACTTTCTCCTTTGATCTATTCCCTTCTGTCGTCAAAAACACGTCTACCCACTCCCTGTCACCCACTCCCTGTCACGGCTCCAATTTCTCCCTTCTCTGTCAACTGTTGGCTCTGACCGCTTTTTCCGTTCCTCCTCCTCGTGCTTTCCCCCGCCTTCCCCCTCTCCTATCTCAGCCTCGCGGATCTTTTCCTTTTCCTTCGCGCGCATCTGTCATTTGCTTTTCTTTTGGTCTTGCTCCTAACTCCCTTTCAGGCTTTATCTCTTGATCTATCTTGGATGGTTGAGGGGATGGATCACTCTTTGATGTTCTTGCTACTTCCTCCTCACAATAGCCCCCAACCCCTTCCAGGGCCACAACTAAACTGTATGTGTGTGGGGGGGAATTGCTTGAAACTGTGGTGACTTCTGTGGTATCACACAGTGTCAAGTCCTACTGCAGTTTAAAATGGTGCCCAATCAATTTTTTTTTAAATTCTTCAGACTTTACAGATGCTGTACAATTTTGGGTGGTATAGGATTGCCCCCCCCTTATTCCCCTGCTAGCCATCTGCCTGTTCCTTGCTCACTCTCCTGTTTGCAACCCTCTTACTCATTTCTGCTTTCAGGGCTGTTTTAATTTTGACTTTATGAAGGTGGTAGCTTAAGATAAAGCAGAATGAGCCCCTTGCTATTCAGGAGGCACCCTGCAAACCCTCCAGGGAGCTTTGTTATCCAAGGCTATAGATTCACCTCTGCCTGCCCCTTCCCCACTTCTCCATTTCACCACCTCCTTGCTCTCCTTGGACTGCCATTATTAGTGATTGGATTGCTAGTTGGGAGCTTTCATTCTGAGCACAGAGCTTGGGTAGGGCATGATGTTTCAGCATATGATATTGCAGCCATCCCCTGAGATGCCGACAACAGCAGTGTAGATGCACACCTAGAATGGAGTACAGTCAACCCTCGACTTACAAACGGCCCTAGTTACAAACATTTCGACTTACAAACCGCTCTGATAGAAAAATATTGACTCGACTTGCAAACTTAGATTCGAGTTACAAACTGGAAAAAACACGTGGGAGGTGGGGAAAGCGCGAAATTTGAACTTTCAGTTAACCGTTGGCCAGTGAAGAGGGTGCCTGTCTGATTCCTCCCTCTTCCCAGCATTTTGAGAGTGGATTTGGAGACAGTCTTCAGACCGCCTGGTACTGCCTGGTATTGCCTGGTACAGTGCTATATGGACTGCATTTGGCTTTTTAAAAATTTTTGATTTTTGGATTTTTAAAAGGTGCTCCCTCCCTCCTTTGCTGACCCCTTTTCCCCTAAAAGGTGCTTGTCTTGGCTGAAAAGGTGCTTTTCAAGGCGTTCTGTTGAAAAGGTGTCTGTTCCTTCCTTCCCTCCCTCTTTTCTTTCCCTTTTTTTTACCCAAGTCATCTTGGGTTAAAAGGAAAAAAATAAAAAAATTCTGGCCCTAGTGGTAGGAACGGATTAACCGGCTTTGCATTAGTTCCTATGGGAACTAATGATTCGAGTTACAAACCACCCCTTGACCTAAGAACCCAAAACAGCTGGAATGGATTAATTGGTTTTCAGTGCATTCCTATGGAAAATGCTGATTCGACTTACAAACTCTTCGACTTACAAACTTCCTTCTGGAACAGATTAAGTTTGTAAGTCAGGAGTTGACTGTAAAACAAAGCAAAAAGCACTGCAACTTCGGTGTGTTGAAACCAGACTCATACCGGTTTGCAACTTTGCTGCAGGAAATACCTGTAGTTTCAGCTCAGGAGAGAAAAGCTGTTACATGCTGAGAACCACAAGCTCCTGATTGGAGCAGGTCAGCATGTTATGCTGAGAACCATAAGCTCCTGATTGGAGCAGGTCAGCATGTTGCCACCCTGGCAAGATAAACTCCTCATAGAACATGATGCCATAAAGCGACCCGGCAGCAGTCTGCAGCCTAGGCAGGACCAGGCTGTGGACGCAGATACCCTGCCCCCCTGCGAGTGCTCCCCCATGAGTGGGACACCCCCATGAGCACAGCAGGCTGTGGATGCAGATACCCTGCCCCCCTGCGAGTTCTGCCCCATGAGTGGGACACCCCCATGAGCACAAAACGCCCCTGCACGCATCTGTGTGAGCGCAACATACCCCCCCCCACTGTTCTGTGGCTGGGGAAAGCTGGGGGACCACTGCCATAACGAACATTACAGCCATGATTTTACAAGACCTAACGGGGCTGTTGTCAGGAGTTTGGGGAGGTCACTAACTCATATTGTCACTGTAAGTTGGAGGTGACTTCATTGAACCTTACAGCAGCAAAACAATAGGTTTGAAAGTACAGCATGTGGCATGCATTTTCTTATGCTTGTGGTTCCCACTAAGGTGGTGACATTACATTCTGAAGTATTTTAACAAGCAGGTTTCCAATTCCAGTCCAGTCTTGAATCAGTTTCTTGGTTCGTGTGGGCCAGTTTTGTAAAAACAGGATTGTCTACAACAGCAAACCAGAGTTTTGAGATTTTTTTTCTCTTGCCCTCCCTGGAGAAGTTGGAATTGATCCCAAGACCTAACAATTGTCCAAAAAGGGGGGAGGGACTTTGCTGTTGTCAGATTTTAACTATGCACAAAACAAAGATATGTGATGGGGAGAGAGGATACTTTTTCTGCAAACTCATACACTTCTATTAGCTTCCGTTTCAGTGGTCAGCAAGCACTTGGACAAATTAGAAGGCAGCTCTTCAAGAGAATCGCCAGTGTAACTGACAAACACTTGGTTGCCAAGATAGAAAACAGGTCACAGGCCCTGGTCACGCAAGGGAAATGTTACGTAGTTATCTACCAGTTATGTCGGGGATGGTGGTGGTTTCCTGGTCACACGATGCAGAGTCAAGACCGATACATTTTTCTGGCTAGTGGCGTAACTGCAGAACATTTCCCCATCTCCGGGAGGGTTGTGCTATGTTCTACCTTTGTTGTACTGGTGCATTCCTTACTGGGATTGCCTGTGTACTCGACCTGCCCTGCTTCTTTTCAGAATTGAAGCCAGGAAGGTGGCCGCCATTATCGCAGCATGCAAATTATTTGTAAACATTTTTTTGTGCCGGATACATCAATGCGTTGGCTAAAGGATGTCACCGAGGGGTTGCCACCATTACAATACTGGCAAAATAATCATTTTGTTCCTGTGGGAAGATACATTGAAACATTTGCTGCCACCATTACAATACTGGCAAAATAATTACTTTGTTCTTGTGGGAAGATACATTGAAACATTTATATGCCAATGTCACAGGGTGGTGGTGATTGCCAATACTGCTACACATATACAGTGGTACACATATCTGTTCCGGATTAACCTTCGCTATGGGGAAACATCACTATACGGATCAAAAAAACCCATTGGAACACATTAAACATCGTTTAATGCGTTCCAAATGGGCCCACAACTCACCGTTCTGCGACGTTTCCCCATGTTCCGGTGGCCATTTTGGGTGGTTCTGGCGGCCATTTTGGGTGGTTCCGGCGGCCATTTTGGGTGGTTCCGACAGCCATTTTGGGTGTTCTGGTGGCCATTTTGGGTGTTCCGGGGGCCATTTTGGGTGGTTCCAGTAGCCATTTTGAGTGTTCCGGCCACCGCCGAACAGCTGTTCCCCCTCGCAATGCGAAGAAACATCGGTATGCGATCACATTAGCGATCGCAAAATCCGCATCGGTATGCGGATTCATCGTTAAACGGTGCGCTCATTATGCGAGGCACCACTGTATCCCTAGTCCATTGTGTTCAGTCCATTTCTGCAGGAGCAGCCAGTGCAACAGAGGAACACGTCCCTAGTCCATTGTGTTCAGCCTATTTCTGCAGGAGCAGCCAGTGCAACAGAGGAACACTTTCCTAAACAGAAACACCTTCCCAATCAATGTTCCCTCTAATTTCCACCTCTTGTGTGCAGGTCTTCCCCCCTCCCCCGTGTGGGGTTCTGTTGCAACCAGAATGAAGGGCTGGAAACAATAGCTGTGGGTGAACGGGGAGGAGGAAAGCTGTGCGGAGGGGGGGTGGAGTCAAATTCACTCGTGGAGTCGAGCACCTTAGAGGGAGACTTGTTTTTGATATATTGATGTATCAATAAATACTGTATTACTTTTTCAATATACATACAGTATATATAGAGAGAGTACACACACACACACACACACAGAGAGAGAGAGAGAGAGAGAGAGAGAGAGAGAGAGAGAGAAAATCAATCAATGGGCTAATTTGTCCCTTGAAGCAAGAGAGAAAATAAACCAGTACCATAGCGTAGCTGGCCATAATGATTCCTATAGAAAGAAAGAAATCAGTATTGCTAAAACTTCTTGGGACATTAGTCCTGGGATATAAACCATGTGACCATGGTTCAGTACAACATAGGTATGGAAAGTATCAGGAGAACTAGAAAACATTTCCCTCATGTGACCAGGGCCATAGACTGAAAAAAATGGTCTAAAGAACTACCCTTCTACCCTGGAGGGGGGACCCAAATGGACAGAATTATTACTGCATAAATTTTTACTTCTTCACCCCGCAGTGAAGGGGTTCTTGTCAGGATGATTCTTTGCTCTAGGATTAAATACTGGGCACACAGCTATTGTATTTAACACTGTTGATTACACTTTGAAAGCAGTAATTTTATTATGGGAACTATCCCATTGCAAAGAGGAATCTTGTGTTATTGCTTTGTAAATATACACACAACCAGAGGTCAGAATCCTATTGGTGATGTATACATGAAGAAGTTATAGTGTGTAACATGCTGCAGTAAATTGTAGCAAACAGCCTGAGTACCAGTCACATTACTAGGTGCACATCTGTAGTTCACTTGGGCAGATGATTCATAATGTAACCATTCCCTCAGTAGTTAGCAGCTATTCACCATGGTGACTTATAAAATTTATGCATGTGTAAATTACCAACAGAATTACGGCTAGCATTTTTATAATATTAAAACCTGCTCTATTGGTGTAAGGCAATAACACCTTCCACTTCAAGTTGATAGCTGCTAGAATGTAATGATCATAATTACAAATCGAAAACACACAATCTGTATTTTGAGTTAGTGCATTTTCCTTAAATGATGAATTCATAACTACACTTTGCCTGCACAATCTGACTTAGCACTAACAGTGATAAGAAATGGGAAACGATGGGAAAGGATGTTGATAATTATAGAGTGACTAATACTACAAACCTGCATATTGACATTTTTCTGATTTATATGGATTTCCAGAAATCTGTGCAGACCATTGGAGAAGAACAAACACAGAACCCCTACACTGAACTCCTTGTACTGAAAGGTCATCATGATATAGTACGATTTTTAGTAGCAGTAGATAATTGCAGGTGAGGCATTGGTTTTATAACAATTTTCTTTGTACATCATAGAGATGATTTTAAGGGATGTCTTTAGAAATGAATCTTCTGTTCCTCTCCCACAAATTGAAGACAGTGTAATAGGCTGCTTAGATCTCAAAGCTTGGTTGGAATGGGAAATCCCTAGAATTTTTTAACTGAAATCTGTTTGCAGATTTTTAATAAAGAAAATCCTTTGCCCAGAGGACTGGCAGTTTAAACATGTATGCCAAAGTGAGAAAAGGGTGATTTCTGGATTCTGTGTAAGTCCCCCAAGATCATTTTTTGCAGATCTTAAGCTATCATGGAGCCCTCCAAAAATATTCCCCCAGCCCTACTCTGGAATGACTGTATCCATGTCCATCATTTATTTTTGTGATCATATGAATGTATTTTTTTCTGGTGCAGAACTGAACTAGTTACAGTGGTGACTCGCATAACGAGCGCCTCGTATAGCGACGAATCCACATAGCGATCCCTTTTCCGGGATCACTAATGCGGAGGCATCGCGTCGGCCCCAATGGGCGAAACTCGCATAGCGAAGATCGGTAAGCGTTTCGCTTACCGATCTTTGTTTTGCGATGCCGCGGATCAGCTGTTCGGCGGTTCCAAAATGGCCGCTGGACACCCAAAATGGCCGCGTGGAGCGTTTTCGCGCCCTCCCCTCGCTTACGGAGGGCGCGAAAATGGCTGCCAGACCCAGGAAACTTCGCTAAACGGTGAGTTTTCAGCTGATTTGGAACACATTAAACATCGTTTAATGGCTTTTTACTTTCCGTTTAATGAAGTTTTCACATAGCGAAGGTTAATCCGGAACGGATTAACCTCGCTATGCGAGGCACCACTGTATTTCATTTTGGTGGCTAAAATACAATAGTGGGGATTGTGCCATATAAGGCTGAATACAACATGTGCTACAGTGTTTTTTTTTCTTTTTTTTTCAAATTAAAGATTTCCACATCCATCCCCCAAGTGCAGAGGCTCCCTTGGGATCCATTTTATCCTGGGGAAGTTGTTGGTGTCTGTGGGGCAGTCGGGGGGGGGGAGAGTACATATTTCATTTCTGAGGAGGATCAGAAGATTTTAATTTCTAGAAAGCTGCCACTGCTAATGAGGTCATCAGCCTCACACAGCATACATTCTGCTACTGGATTTCAGCCACTGAATTGGACCCTAGCATTTATTGCAAGCTCATTCCCTCTTCTTGTGAAGTAGAAATTATAGAAAGCATTATCCATTCATCATCACCATACTTTTTTTTGTGGGTTGATGCCTTTGGCTCAGTACATCATCTTGGATCCAAGGATGTGCTGGCAGAAGGGAATGAGTAACAAATTATGTTTTAAAAGCTACTGCTTCCAGAGGTTGCCTCCACTCAGTTTTTGAAAATCATTGAGGGGGCAGATAAATCATCCCCCCCAGCCATATATTTCTGGAAGCAGTTATTTCTTACTAAAAACTCATTCATAGTCTTTCCATGCAAGAGGCCAGACATGGGGCTCAAATACACAGGATGACCCTGAATAGGTCCTTGAATAGGAGCACCTGCTGATGCTTGTAAATGCTCAAGTCCTTGGGTGAGAATTCAGTTTCCTTTAGCATAATATGAGTGCTTGACATAGGACTAAAATAGGGAAGAAAAATACAAAGCAGTTATTTAACGACTCAGCGTTTTATAGTCAGATTATTAAAAATGTTACAGAAAAAGGGATATGTTTATGTATCAAAAGTAAAATCTTTCATATTCCTTGAATAGTTGAATTGGAAATGATATTCCATCTTCTGGTATTTGGCATGTATTGTCATTAAGGGTGTGTTAAATCAGATACCACTATCTTATTTGATTCTTTCCAATAAAATTAGCATTGTTATGTGGTTTCTGAAATGGTTTTATTTAGTTTTCATAGTTCTTTCATTGCATTTTTTGTCAACTGTTGTAAGCCAGGTTTCACGGTTCAGCTCTTGAGATAATATCATCTTATTGAGAATTTTGCAGAAGGATTTTCTTGTTTTCTCGGTGGCTCAGCTAAAACCAGTGAGTGGAAAATTTTCTCAGATTGGTTTCTGAAGATACTAAATAAATCCTGTATCACCCTAACAGACAGCTGCTTTTCACTTCTTTTCTTTTGTGTTTTTGAACATGAAGAGAGGGTCATATTGATTGCGAGATCACTAAGAAAGGCTAAGCCTCAGCAAGAGTCTTCCAAAAAATAGAATGAGATAAAATTGCAAGTAATGCTCTAGCATTTGACATATTAAACTAGACTGAATTCATAACATACTTTGAGAATGGCTTTCTCTGTTGCTTGTTGACCATTTCTTGCTCCTTCAGGAAACAGACAAGGTTATAGAGGATGGTGATCATGACTGGAAAAGAATCAGCTGACCCATGAAACACCCGCTTGGTGAAAAGAATCCATTTGAGGGATTGGCAGTTCTACTATGAGCCCTTCACATGAAATCCTGGGCTTCATATTACTAATTACTTTTAAAAAATCAAATACCTTGTATGTGTTGAGGTTTCTTTGTTCCATAATTTTGGGAAAAAGAATCCTAGGCTGTGGCATATGGTTATTAATATAATCTTCCAGGCTGGGATTCTTGTAAAATTCTTGTAAAGAGGTTCCCCAGATAATTGGTGTTTCCCATTTGGACTGGATTTCATGTCATTTTACTAATCATATTTTTAGTTGAATGCCACAGATATTTTAAGTGACAAACACATAATTGAAAGAGAATGAATACGTATATTCCATTTTAAATTTTTGTTTTTGATTTCTTGAGCTCTGATCTCTGAAGAGGATAATGAAAAAATAATCCCCCTTTAGTATAGATTTTTATTCACCTTATGGTTTGTGGTTTTTGGAACCACTTTTTAAAAATAGTGTTGTTGTTATTTATCTTTTATCCCAATAAGACTGTATTTTTATATATGCAAAACAATAAAAACATGGAAATTTGAAGATTTAAACATAGCTTTAAGGTATTAATTTCCTTTTGCCCAGCATTTGTCAATGACCTTAAAAAGTGAGTATTGATTAGCATTTCTTAGCCTTTTACTGCTCCCATAGAAACAACTGTGTTTTTTCCTTCAAATCGCTGTAATCTAATACTGTACTTGTTTTTTGTTTACCAGGTTCGCATCTGCTGGTGATGATGGAATTGTATGTTTGTGGAGCGCACAGGTTTGTTTCCATTTAGAAATTCTATGCATAAAGATTAGATTGGATGAAATTTAAATTGTAGCTACTCTATTGCAGATAACTGACCTAGAAAGAAAATTGGCTATTATAAGTAACCAGAATTGTCATAGCAACAATAGTACAAATTAAAGACTGTGTTTTATATAGAGATCACCTTTGGAGTGCAATCCTAAGAACACTAGAAAGTTTGGAGACCAAAGTGACACACAGACTTTCAATATCCCTATGTAGTTAGAATAATTTCTTAGAAATAATGGCTTAATGATTTGTTTTGTGACACTACACTGGCATAGCACTCACTGTGTTGCATGCTAGGTATTTATTTGCTGGCTTAGCCATTCTGCGCATTAGCCTGTGGCTGTGAAAACAGCAAGTGGCCAAATTCTATGGCATAGTGCAGTTGGCATAAGTATTGATGGTTTTTGCCCAAGTTCAGAAGTCGGCATACATACTTGCTGTTCTGCATTGGGTTACCTGACTTTATGCACAGCAGTAGACGTTGTGAATATTTGTGTCAGTTCATTGCCAAGATTGTGTTATGCTGGCATAAAAAAGTAACTGGATTTTGGCCACAAAAATATTTTATGTAGCGAATCCTGTACTACTTGTGAATTATATTCTGAATATGGGCCTATTGACTAAAATTGGACTTTTAAAGGAAGAATTCTAAATTTGTTTTGGGAGTTCAAGCTGAATTCTGATGACATGGAAGTCCTGACCATAAATGTGCAAATTCAAGCACCAGTGCCTGTGGGGTTTTTTTTTGGGGGGGGGGAGAAAAAGAGAGAAGCAAAAACATCCCTTTTTAAGCAGATATTTGGTATCTATATTCAGGCACTTTATGGGATAGTAGGTGATAGTTGTAGAACTTTAATACAGTATTTATGTTTTCATAGGGCTTTAAGAGGTTTTAATTCTTGTTTATATAATCACTTTTAATGATTAATTTCTTATATTTCATATGCATGTTTTAAATGTAAACTGCCTGTAGTTTTCTATATAGGAAAACAGTCACTATAGAAGTAAACAAGCAAACAAACAAACCAGATTAAACCCAAAATATCATCTCATTAGCCATGATTTGGGAGTTCAAGTCAAAACATTTGGCAGGCCAAACATTCATTTTGCTCATGAAGGTAGTGCTGAGCAAGGTAGACCAATAGGCTGAATGCATATAAGGCAGCTCCCCGTGTTTCATTTAACGCTTTAAATTGCTTAAATCATATCTTGTTGGAATATTCCAACCATTAGTCTCAGCCAGGTCGACCTACTGAATTAGTGGAAGTGAATTAGTGGAATTTAAGGGATTTAAGAGAACCGGATAACAGGGAGTATTGACTTTTACTGTTCAGCAGCTGATTCCATGGGTCTACTTTAGTAGGGACTAGCACTTGCATTTTGGCCACTGTAGTTTAGCAGTTTTATTGCAATGCCTTTTGTTGTTTTCCAGACTGGAGAGAAGCTATTCGAGCTACATGCACATACACAGAAAATTACGGCACTTGCAGCTTTTCCTCTATCAGATGCTAGTGAAGAAAAATGTCACATGATTTTAACAGCCGGTGCCGACAGGACTGTTATAGTATCCTTTCCTCTAAACAGGTCTGAATTGATTTCTGATAGGAGGAATACCCAAAGCCTTGGCAGCCCTGTGGATGGCAACTGCTTGTTGTGTTACATCTAGTTAGCTCTGCACTTAACAAGATTGCTATCATACCCTGTTGGGCAGGCATGATTCCTATGGTAAGAGTAACGTATGACAAACAAATGCCAATGGTGCATTTCATACGAATAAGTCTATCAAGACATGATCTGCATCTTGTTGTTTGCAGATCTGCTTCATCACATGTGCAGAAGCCTGCTGCAAAGGGTCAAGACTCTTCTCCTAGAGGTTGTATGCACAACAGGAACCTCTATCAAGAAATCTACATTTGCTTCTTTGGCATGCCAGGTGCTTTTACCATGGGGGAGGAGAGATAAGATGTAGAGACTCCCTCCCACCCCATCCATTTTCTGGCAGATTGAGCCTTAGCAAGCACTGATGCATTATAGGTGCTCATGTCATGACAAGACTAATAGACCCGACACCTGTACGCCTCTTGATTTTTGTAGTTTTATCTCCTGAATATAGGTGTTCCAGTTTGTTGTTCTCTGTAATTCCTTAATTCATAAAACTGGATATGGGATTGTGACAGTGGTAGACAAATTCATAAAGTATCCTGCTTTCATTCTACTGTAAAGGTAAGTAAAAATAGAAGTGACTCTGATTTTAGATGCATATTCATTTTTGCTGGCAGTATAAACAAAAATCTTGTTGGTAATTGTGGGAAAATCCTGCCCAGAGCTCTTAGCTGTTATCTGTTACAGTGAGTGCAAACACTCCTGGCAGAGAAGCAGCAGCTCCCAGCCGGTGGGGTAACCTCTCATTCTGCCTTTCTGTTTAGAGTTAGAGCATTAGCTCTGGCCAATCCTAGTGGTGATTAGGTAACTAGTATCCTATCTGAATTCTCACAACATTCTGTGTAATCCTGCTGTTAATAAAAAGAGTTCTCAAGGAGTTGCTTGAGGGTCCACTGGCTCAGACATCTGCTAGTTGACTTCTTTGTACTTTCTCTAAGGCTAATTGCCTTCCTATTGTTCTGTGATCACCCACGTCATTAGCCTTCCTTTGTTCCTTGATCACCTACAGGTAGTCCCAAATATAGTAGACTTGTTAAATCAGTGGGATTTATTTACTGTTCAATGGTTGAGTTACCATTCAGTGTTATCCAGTTGGTCTATGCTAGTTGGGTCTGTGGTGTACCAGCAGGATTCTGTCCATAACAGTTGAAGTGAGCCCAGTTTATTGCAGTATGTCTGATTCATCCCTGTGTGTAATTTGGGGAAGTTATGGGTTATAATTTAAAGTAGTTGTGGCTGCTTGAATTCTGAAGTTGTCTTAATTGCTCTCAGTAGCTAGGTTGCTTATATACTTACCTATTGTCTTCACACTAAGGACTGATTCACCTGTCACATTTGGCTGAATGATTTATAGTGACATCTCACATGAACAGCTTCAGGTGACCTTGGGAACCGACAGGTCTAGGTGATTTCTGGAAATTTATCTCCTCCCCACTCCCAGTGGCTAGTCTGTATAACTCAGTTAAGCAGAATAAAGATAATGGAGACAAAAAAAGCTACAGGCCTGAAAATACATAGCACAAATTCCCAGTTTGGGGGAAACTCAGAGATAACACCTTCTGTAAGTCTTCCTCTGAGACAAATTGTGGAAAGCTACTTCAGTACTAATCCTTAGAATCATCTTTAATCATTTTGAACCTGTGGCCTCATGTCACAGGGCAATGTTAAGATATCATGGTAACATGATAAAGTTTTAATGTATTCTCAAAGGCATTTTCTTGGTCTGTTCTTGTCAGATCCTTTGCAGATATATTGTATGGTATGAAAAGAAAATAGTATTTGTTATATATTGTTTTGGTTTGTTGGGAAATTTAATTATTGAAACATTTTCAAATGTTTTAAGTTGCAGGGAGGATTATGTCCTCTCAGTGAAATCTTGAATTATAAAACATTGCTGTTTATTAGCCTGCCTGTCTGCCTTATAAGTAGTATGATGAATTTGCTATTAATTATACATTTTGTGTTATATTTCATTAGTAACGCTAATGATTTTATTGAAGAAAAATCCCTAAAGAACTTTCTTATGGGATATTCTTCTGAATCCATTTATCTAATTTGGTTCTACAGTGTTTGACAGTTCTTCAGAGGTTGAATGTGTGGCTGTCTGGAGGGAGTGATCTTTGTGTTTGGAACCAAAAATTAGATCTCCTGTGTAAAACAAGTCATCTTATTGATGCAGGTAAAAATGTAAATGGTTCATTATAGCAGTTAAAGTGTGAATAAAATAGATCTATATGATGTTACAAAATCAGCTTGGCAAAGTCCCTTTAATTCTAAAGATAACATATATTAAAGTTGCCCTCTCTTTAAAATGTCAATGTAGTCATTTTTGAATTAAGAGGACTTGTAGCCTCTTGTGTCCTATGAATTTTAGAGTATGTCAAACTTCAATAACTGTGTGTTAACTTAAGTGAGCTGGGCCAGAATGTATAAATCACCAAATGAATATATATATCTTTAGAAATGAAATCAGACTCTTCCAGGTATGCTGTGAGATAGAAAGATGATTAATATTAAATATGAAATTCCACCTAAATCCGGAAGCACAATACACCAAATGCTGAAGTATGAGAAAGAAGTGGGTTGTTCCTAATATTTTCATGGCCTGAGTTCAATCCTGATGGACTCAGGTAGCTGGTTCAAGGTTGACTCAACCTTCCATCCTTCCATGGTCACTAAATTGAGCATCCGTCTCACCGGTGTGGGGGAATGTGTAGCCTGCATAATTAAATTGGAAACTGCCATGGGAGTGCTTTAAGCATTATGGGGAGGTATATAGGCAGCATGCATTTAACAAGCAGGTTGTGTTTGTATTTATTCATAATAAAATATCTTATTGTCTTTTGTTTTCTTAATAAAGATATCACTACTATGATTGAATTGTCAGAAAACTGTGTGGCAGCAGCTGTTGGCAAAGAACTGAGTAAGTATTCGCGAAGGCTTTCACGGCCGGGATCTAATGGTTGTTGTGGGTTTTTCGGGTTCTTTGGCAGCGTTCTGGAGGTTGTTCTTCTTAATGTTTCTCCAGTCTCTATGGCCGGCATCTTCAGAGGACAGGAGTAGCACTGCACCAGAGCACAGAGTGCTACTCCTGTCCTCTGAAGATGCCGGCCACAGAGACTGGCGAAACGTTAGGAAGAACAACCCTCAGAACGTGGCCAAAGAACCCGAAAAAACCACAACAACCAACTGAGTAAGTGCTGCTCTAATTTGTGAAAATACTTGAACTTTTATTAATTGTGAACCCTGTTAAGTTTCTTTCCTGTGTTTCAGAATTGTGTAAACATATATTTTATCTCCTTTTGACCATGGGTTGGGATCTAAACAACTAGCTTTGCTTTCCCAAGAGGGGTTTTTTTTTGTAGTTTTGTTATTGCCCTCAGTAATAAAATGCTTGTAGGTTAATTACTTTGCACAATGTTTGGACTCAAGGTGGGAAGCCAAGATATTTTGGGAATAGCAAGAGGTAGTTTCTGCCTAGCATTTAAATGGTGTATGGTAATTCTAGAGGTAAATGCGAATAGAAGACATATATTTTCATAACACATACACATGAATATGAACAGTACCATATCAACAGCTTAAATGAAAAGTTTCATGCTATTTAAGACATATATGTTTTAAATGGCATGAATGTCTTAAATAGCTTATATGTCTTAAATAGCTTAATGATTTAGGTTTCTGGCTGTGGAGCCAGAGGTTGGGAGTTCAGTTATGCACTGTCTCCTTAATGCTGGACTCAAATATTCAGATAGTCCCTTCTAGCTCTGCAATTCAAAGATGTGCACTGTGTCTCCTTAATAGGCTGGACTCAAATATTCAGACAGTCCCTTCTAGCTCTGCAATTCAAAGATGATGATAATGATTTCAACACTTCCTGTTTAGGAAGAAATTTTCCAGAGCAAGGAATATGCCATGTGCTTCACCAATCAAGTGGCCAGTGCTCTCAGAGGAAACATGCTGATAAAATCATGTTCAGCTTATGGATTAGAGCTGTAGATCAGTCTGCAGATACATCTTTTTTTTTTAATGAAAGAAAGACTTTTGTAACTGAGGTGGTGAGTGCCAAGAGAAATGAACCCAAAGCAATTGAAAAGCTGCACAGAGAAGCTTAAAGCACAACTCACAATGCCGTGCTCAAAGCATGCTTTGTATATTGGATATCAATAAAATGAGAAACTTTGGGAGTAGAGAATAGCAGAGGTGGGCAGTGTGTGACCCAAGACATTTTGTGCCCCCATCAGGGGCATTTTTGTACCCACTAGCTGACTTCATCGCTCCTACCCCATGCCCATCAGTTTGAAATTTTTTTTAAATGGTAATGTCCCTGTTTCTGCTCCCAGGGAGGCTCTAAATTTGGGCATTTTAATGTTAAAGAGGTTGCATTCCCATTGAGCCTACAAGTCCTGGTACAGGCATTTCCTCTTTCCTTTCTTAGATGGCCATTTCCAGGGCTGGTGTGGCCCATGAAGGGGGTGGGATGGTGGTGAAAATCTGGCCTGTAGTACTGTTGACATTGTCCATCACTGAATGGAGCACTCTAGAAGAGGGCATGGCTGCCTTGTTGGAGCCCTGCACATCAGCACTTTGGTTAGGAGGCGAAACTATACTGTAGTATCTTGATACAGCTACCATTTGTGTGTGTTATTCTCATAAGGGTTAATTTTTCTTTTAAAAATGTTGTCCACAATTCTGTTTTAAAGTGATTTTTAGACTGACAACTTCCAGAGATGGGTCTGAATGGAATGTCATTGAAGTGAAACGTCTTCTTGACCATCAGGACAATATAGTGTCGTTGGTCAGTGTCAGTGGTAAGACCATTACCAGTTTTATTGTCACTGAATAACTAATGCTATATATTTTTATTACCAAGTTTCCTTTTCTGTTCCCCAGATGCACGTGTTTTGTTTTGTTGGTTCCACTGTAAATCTATTACATTGTACATTGGTTTGCATTATAGCTTCTTGGCAACTCCTCAGATATATCTTGTGTAAAATACCTTAGTTTCAAACTGTTTGCTTGAGTTGAACGTACTATGATAGCAAATGTTCTGATTTCAGTTAAGCTTACATGTACTCTGTACAGTGATTTTTTAAAAATGAAACTTGTAATACTACCTCTTATTTTTTCAAAGTGAGTTTGTTAATTATATGACATTTTTATCACACCAAGTAGTGCCACATACTTTTTACTCCTCATCAATTTTATCTGCACAGTAGCCATTTGGAGCAAGTTTATAAAAGTGTGATTGCTTGAAGGCCACTCAATGAATTTCACAGCTAAGACCGGGTCTCACTGGTCCTTGTCAAACTCTGCCCTTTGGCAAAGTCTTTGTAGAACAATTCATAATCTTAATCCAACAGCAGTAGCTCATGCAGGAAAATAGGTTTCTGCTCTCAGTGAAACATTATTCTAAGAGAGACAGCATTCACTGTATTTTCCCGGCATGTAAAAGATGCTCTTGAACCGCATAGCTGCTCTTTGGAAGAGGAGGACCTCCCTCCTCTAACTTCTCGATTTAATTCTTATTTCTCTTTTTTCACTTAATAGTGAAAGAGGGCAAAGGGATTCTCTGGATGCTGTTTAGATTGCACCTCCTATCAATCCTAGTCACCAGGAGCCAGCCATGAAGAATGCTGGGAACTGCAATCCAACAGCATCAAAAGGGCAACTCTTTGCCCACACCGGATTTATGCCTATCAGGCTGTCAGTTGAGTGGCTTCCTGGATGCAAAGATGAAAATGTAGGCTGCTGCTCTCCTTTCATTTTCTGGAATTGGGACAACGTGCTAGATACAGAAGGAACCATTGGTCGTATTTTTTGCCTACATTGAATTGCATGATTTAGCTTGTGTACAATATGCACCCTGCACATTGAGCTTCTTCTGACACCATCAGCTGAGTTGAACAACAACAAACGAAGCCCACATCCAGGAAGTCAGGCTGAAAGTTTTATGTCAAGAGGGAGGAATGGGTGGCCATCCAGATGCTGGCTGGGTTGCATCTCCCAACATTCTTCATCATAGAGCTTTTGAAAGTTACCGATAACCCAACCTGTGATTATAAAATGTTCTGTGGCCCTTCTAATAAGCTTATAGAGCCAGGTGAAATACGGTTCCTTCCCACCCCCATTTAACACTACTATTTAGCGCTCTCTCTCTCTCTCTCTCTCTCTCCCTCTCCTTCTTGCTCTCTAATATCCACGCACCCCAGACACATACACAAACAATACCTTTTAGCACTGTCTTCTGAAGATGTGCTTTCGAAATTAAAGGGAATTATAACATTTATGTGCAAAAAGGAACTTGGTGGATTGTGCTGTTGTTGTTTTATTTAAATAAATGTCTTCATAAAGTATAATATGTAGTCAAAGGTGCATTGACTTTGCTTATGTGCTGGTTAATTTCAATTATTATAGTCCCATCGACATTTTGGATTTCAGATAGGTTGTGATTTAAAGGGATTCTCTTCTTTTTGGTACCTAGGAACGGCTTTTGCCACAGGCTCCCATGCAGGGGAGATGATTGTCTGGGATTCAGTGGACTGGACAATGCAAGCTTATGAACGCAACTGGGATGCATCTCTTCATGTGGATCCACAACAGGAAATAAAATTATCACACAGCCAAAATGAAGTTTCCATCCAATATTTAGCTTCTGATAAAGAGGTAAAAAATTGTAATAGTATGAAAGTTAACACATATTTTTACACATATTCTTGATTAGTAAATGCTAATTACACATAGTAATGTGTCTCTTTTGTTAAGAGATTCTGTTGAATTTTCTCTCCAGTGTGTGTTTGCTGCTGTTGGAAAGGGCATATATGTGTATAACCTTCAAATGAAGCGTGTGATTGCCTTCCAGAGGACTGCTCATGACTCCACTGTCCTGCACATTTCGAAACTTCCAAACAGGTGCAAGTTACACTACATTTTTATGCACTAAAATTTGTAAGCATCAGAAAAACAAATAGAGCCACACTACATTTTTATCAATTTTCCCTTTCAGTTTCCTCGCCAAGTTCCCTGTCACATTTAACTGTGCTAGCAAGCTTGATCTTTCATCTGATTTGACCAGACATAAGTTTTAAAATGTCAGCAAGTACAGTCTTTAAACATCTTTAAAGGTGCCAGCATAAAATCTAATGAAGAAAATTTTAGCCAGGTCTAAAAGTATCCTTAAACTGCTAGGTTTTGTAAGCAATATTTCAATAATCTATGATGACTTAACAAAAACTGAAGCTCAGAAGTATCTTAGTGAAAGGATTTTTATAAGAACTACTGATCATTCATTTTGTACAGTTATACAAACATGATTCTGCAAATTGTTTCAGTGATATCAACGTAATACTTGATTTGGTTTTAACAGGCAGATAATCTCCTGTTCAGAAGATGGCAGTGTTCGAATCTGGGAATTAAGAGCAAAACAGCAACTTACAGCTGAGCCTGTTCCAACAGGTCTGTGAAAATTAGTTTCATAAAAATTAAGAGGGGGTGGGAAGAGTCTTATGGGCCCATCTACATTTTTGTGTGCATAACAGTAAAACTGCCTTTCATTTCTTATGCTGAATTATTTGTGTGTGTAAAGTTTCACACACATCTTTGTCCGTATTTGCCTTGGGTTCCTATATTGGGAAAAAGCTGGGCTGTTGTTGTTACATGCTTTCAGGTCACCCCCAATTTGTGGCGACTTTATGAATTAGCAATCTCTAAGCACTGGGCCATTAGTTTGTTTCCCGTATTCGTTGGGATATTATTGTCAGTGAATTCTTGCTTCGATTCTGACCAAGGCTGATTTTTCCAGCAACATTTAGTTCTGCTTTGTTTCCTACTTTTGCATTCTAATCACCTGTGATTATAAGCATTACTTCTTTTGGTATATGATCAGTTTCTTCCTGGAAGCTTGCATACTTTAATCTTCTTCAGCATTTAGAGTTGGAACATAGACTGGAGTTACAGTTAAATTGATATGCTTTCCCAGAAATCTGATGACTATTATTTGGTTGGACTTTACATTATAGCCCCTAATTCTCTGTACTGTATCTTTCCTCATTATTAGAGCCACTCAGTTTCTTCTGAATTTGTCATTTCCAAAGTAAAATACTTTGAATTTGTCTGACTGAACATGTGCCATTCCAGTCCGTTTTCATTCACTGACACCCAGCACTGCAATATTTAAATATTTATTTCTTGCTTTACCGTTTCCAGTGTAATTGGTTTCATGCTTCTCATATTCCATGTTGCAGTTGTGTGTGTTGTGCAGCATCAGACTTTCCTTTCACCCCTGTGCATGTCATCAACCATACTTTCTTTTGGCTTTAATCTAGTTGCATCATTAAAACAAAGCATGCTGCTTATAAACTACCTCATAGTGCTTAAAGCACTCTCTGGGCGGTTTACAATTTAATTATGCAGGCTGCACATTGCCTCCCCACTTTAGAAGGATGGGAGGCTGAGTCAGTCTTGAGCAGGTACCTAAATCCATTCGGATCAAACACAGTCATGAGCAGAGTTTTTGACTGCAACACCATGATATTGCTTTCTAACAAAAGTTTGCTTGACCATCACTGCCGCTGTCAGTGAAAGATCCTCTGAAAGTTCTACCTTCAGCCACTGCTGCCGCTCAGTAACTGTTCTCTAGAGGTTTCTCTGTCTTCATCACCATTGGAACTACCCATTCTTTTCTGCTGTTGCAGCCGTTACTCCTGAGGAGGCTGGGTGCACCTTAGTCTGGTGCCTCAGCTATGAACATTCCCCCTCGGGTGACCCTGCGGGTGAGTCCAGGCTTGTAATGGAGTCTCGCCTCCTGACGACATTGCTCTCAGCTTCTCTGATACACATAAATCCCCTTACCATGTTAAGGTATACATCCAAGAAAGAGAAGCTGGGTGATACATAAAACAATAAATACCTAGTTGGTTTTCATAATCTAATAATAGAAAAGGCAAAAAGCACTTAATAAGATAGCCTCACCTCCAGGCCCCATGAGCCGAATTTGTACATTGCTAATTTTTACAAATAATGTTGTGTGATCCTGACTTCATGAAAGTATTTCTGTTTGTTTGTTTGGAAGTCTCCAATCAGTTTGGTTGGCAACTTGCTCTGAATGCCTGGGCAATAGCAAGAAAAGTTCCAGTTCTACAGACAGATACACATATGTGCAGATGGATGTAGTCTGCTTTCAGGAAACTGGTTCATTTCAATTGAATTTTCACTTCTTGGAACATGCCTTGGTGGGCCAGATCTGGGCAGAATAAAATCTCCCAGAGTGCATGAATATTTTCTTACTGTTGAATGTTCCTCTCTCCTCCTCAGGCTTTTTCAATATCTGGGGATTTGGAAAGACAAGCAAGCCAGCCAATCAGACAGCAAAAAAGGCACCAGAGAGCACAACTATTTACTTCCTGGATCTTACTGGAGATTTGATTGGGCACTCCTCAGCTGTGCAGGTTTGTTACAATTGGCCATAGCATGTTGTTGATGTCATTATACTTGTGGTTGTATGTTGGGAGAGGTAGAGGGCACTTCTCTTTCAGACAGCTGTCATTTAGAATTGCAGACTACTTAAGAAGTCAATACTTTGCTTTGTTTAGATCTCATGGTAGAATACAGTATTCTGTAGAAATTGATGGCTCAACATTATTAGGGTGTGAAAGGCTGTACAATAGCCTTCAGATTTCCCTGGAGCATTTCATGTGACATAATTCCTACATTGCTGCAGGGAAAATGGTTAATAAATGTATAAATACATATGAAGTCACACCTGTATTTATTTTGTGGCTATATTTGGATGTTGCAACAAAACACTGTAACAAAATAGGCACTTGTGAAGTTATTAAACAATGAAGTCTATTTTGTCAGCATTTCCTACAGTTAGATAGGATTAAGTGGTATGCGTGAAGTAGCTTAGGACATGGATGAGCATGTAGGACCACTGTCTCTGTTGCTTCATAGGTGACTTATCAATCTGTTAATTACAGTAGACTGGATCAATGTGTATCACAGCACCACAAAAAGGCCTATTCGGTTGATCCCACTCTTTACGCCTTTACAGAGGAAGCCCAAGCCCAATGCAGACCATTGTGCAGCCTCTTGTACAGCAGTTTGCATAACAGTGTAACCCAGTGAAACCCTGTTTTTCCTTCTGCTAATATTGCATTGGGTTTAGGCAGCTGGGTTGGATTCAGAGTTGTCCCTCTACTTTTTGGTACTTCCTTTTGACTCTAGTTTTTATTGCAGATGTTCCTGTACTTCGGTGATGATGGCCTGGCAACATGTTCTGCTGATAACCTCATTATTTTGTGGAAAGATGGAGAACGAGAGTCTAGACTGCGCAGCTTCATGTTATTTCATAAATTAAAACAAAGTGAAGATTTGCAGCTTAGGATCTAAGATGCCTTTGTCATGAATAAATGTATGGAACAAAGTCTCAAATATATCAAATATGTGTAATTTTATTTTTAAGTGTGTACCTTTATTTGAAAAAATAATCCTGCAATTAAATGAAATGTTCTTGTTGAATTTGTTGTTGCATAAGGTAGTTTTCTGAATTGGAGACCAATATAGTGTACGTTATCAACTGAGGTATATACTGGTATTAGAGCAAATTAGTGTAACACAGGGATAGTATAGTGAGGAGAGATAATGTGAGTAGTCATATGCAGTTTCATCTTTCAGACCTTTGTTATATGTAGCACTGAACTTCAACTGGTTGGTCACCTATTGCTGCCCAGGTTTGCCACAATCTAGAATGCATGCTGTACTTTGGCAGTCTAGCTAGGCATAAATTGCTATTGGTGTTCAGAGTAATTCAGGGATATCCCAAGTTCTGCCTGGGCAGAGAGTGCCCTTCGGAAGGTACTGCACAGGCCTGTGAAATGTAGACAGAGTTCCCTTTGCCCAGCAGAAACCAACCCTGAAGATAAAGCATCCAGTTTATTCAGCATTCCATTATTGCAAGGAGAAAGCAGATAATCTGGGGAAAACCCTTGCTGAAAGTGGCAGCTGAAAGATTTGTCTAGGTTATTAGATATGCTTGCATACAAAGCAGCCCATTCTCATTAACTCTTGAAGGTTTGCACCTACATGGGGCATTGCACTAAACATTATTGTGCAATCAGTGAAGCTGTGCCCGGACATACAAGTAAAAAGTATCTAAGGGAGGAGCTAAGCACACTAGAATTTCATTGCTGATGCAGCTCTGTGACTAGGCATAATGTGAATGTAAGTAATATGCATGAATAATAAGCTTTTCTTGAATATATGACATTTCAATTTACCTAAACTCAATCACTGCTAGTCAATAGTAATATTAGTATATGAAAAGATGAGGGGGTGTAAAAAAAATTAAAATAAAGGGTTAGATCCAGACTTCATCCCCAGAGGCAAAAAATAGTTCCAAGCGAAATGTCTTCAGAATACTGCCACCATTGGAAGGAGGCTAGAAGCAATTTTTAAAACATATTTCCTTCCTGAGTGCCAGGAAGGCACTGTTCTAGAGGAGCCCCTGAATCTTTAGAGATTTGGGATCTGCCATAAGGAATTGCAGGCTAGGTTAGGGAGCTGAAGATCTTGGTGGACTGGAGCATCATCCAAAGGCCCCTGGTTTGTCCACCTGCTGTTTATGCTGAACGCAATCCACAAAACTAGAACTAAGGCTATGTGAATAAAAATTAAATTAAAATTTAATCAGATATAGGCTTTGACAGTAGTACATAATGGAAATCATGATTCCTGCAGGAAAGATTGTAATGTATAGCAGCAGACATTAAGTTGTGTTAGAATTCTAACAAAAATATAGCTTATATACATTTCTCTGCATGGAAACTATGAGTGTTTTACATTATTTTACATAACTAGATACAAAACATTGAAAAATGTTGGCACATTACATAAGCTACAATCATTGTCATTTTAAAAATCAGTTTACTTTCCTGGTCTCAGTGCAAAAGCAAGAGCTAAAAGTCTTTTCCCATTTAATGGGCAGTGTAATACTTTATATTAAATTATATATTTCAGCCTTTGAAAAACCTCTTGTAATGCACAGTGTTAATCAGTTAAATATTTAGAAAGATATGGAGAATAACAACCAATAACTTAATGATTGTCTAAGCCCATTAACTTATATAAGCCAAACTAGAATCTTGTTACTCAGGGAAAATGCAGTTTTTAATATCTCCCAGCTGCAGCTGCAGAAAAGTGTAACTTTCATTCATCCTTCAGTACAGATCTTCCAGAGGACAATGTGGTTAACAATGAATATAAAGAGATGTGTATTTTGGTTGCTAAAGCTCAAATGTCATACTTTCAATGGATTTTTCTGTTTCTACATTCAGTTTCTTTACTAAAGTTAAAATGAATCATATGAGGGCTATGTTATTTAATTTGGCCAGTCTCCCATTGAGCTTTTACAACCAGAAAATCCTGCCAGCAGAGTAGCGGGCAAACGACACTCACAGAATCATTGCCAATGCTCAAGCAGAGGGTGGATTTGGCCCATATAGATTCTTTCTTTATTCATATCAGACCACTGCACACATCACCAAGTTTACAGTGCAATGCTTCCGGAAGAGAAGGACTGGCCGGCTGCATGCTGTTGCTAAGGAGATGCCCAACTGTAATCGCAATGCTTTCCACTCTTGAAGGATGATTGCCTGTGCAATGGCAAGACCTGTTAAAGTAGTGACCCTGCATTACTGCACTGGCAGGACATTTCACTTAGTGGAAGATCAGTACTTCTGTTGTTTTTAATGTTATAGAATCTTTGCCAGAATCCTTTTGAGCAAATCCATATATTCAAGAACAATCTCACATTGGTTTTCCCCACAGTTGGTCACATGCCCATCTTCACAACTGATGGTAAAGTGTGTTGGGTGAGACACACAACTGCCCTTCTGCCATCTCATAAGTCAGTATGATTCTGGCCCCTATGTTTAATGCATTATTCGAATTAAAATTAATGTCTTAAGAATGGTAACTATGGCTAGAAGTCTACAACACCAAGGCACAGGGGGTGTTCAGTTTTCCATGTGGAAAACACTATGCATATACAGCCACTTCCTTCCACCAAACAGAGATTAAGAAGCCTCTGCAAGGATTTGCATTCCAGAGAAGTTTTTGAATATGGCTTGTGTGCATGTATCCATGTATGGCTTATGACTATGCAATCTGTGCAGTATCGGCTGCTCCCAAGATCTGCAGCAGCAAACCCCATTCTAACAATTAGGTGTGTGGTGTTAATGATGCTGATGCACACAGGTATTTTAAGCTAAGATGCCAGTCCTCCAGAACTTAGAAAAGTTCCTTTTTAACACTACAGCTCCCAAAATCCCCCCTGTCAGCACAGGCTATGCTAGTCTGTTCCAGGAGCTATATAGTCTGAAATGTAAGCAAACCTTCAGCTGCTTGTCTGGAGCCTTGCACAATATGGCTCGCTGCTCTCCATTTGAAGGCAGAAAAAAGTACAGATTTGTTCCTCTACTGCACATTTGTAAAAGTTTGGTTGAATATGCAAAACAGATCCAAGGGCCTCTTGTGTGTGTAGAAAGAATCCACAATTTATCATTCGCTTTAGTGATGAAACCAGCTCCTGGAATGTACACACCCAGTGCTCACTGATACCGAAATGTACAGGGAAGCTGGATTATGGAGGAAAGTGGTGCAAGCGGACAGCTTTTGATCACAGTAATTGTCTATCTATGAAAGAAAATTATGTATGCTAGCATTATCTGGCAAAACAAAGATGACAATACTGTGTGACAGAACTAAAGTTCCATTGAACTTTTGCTATTAAAACAATCACTTTTTGACATTAAAAGACAGTTAAATTTGCTACTTTTTTTCCAAGTTATTTGCTTTGCTTTTTGTCTTACAGTTCTTGTATTCTGCAAAGGAACAAGGCTCCCCTAGTAAGACAAGTTTGATCAAATAACTGTTTCTGTTCCAAAGATGTTGGTTGTGTTTATCTGATGTCCTCTTATATGGGAATTACTGTAGATGTACAGTATATCGATTTTGGCCTGCAGATAAAAGTGTATCAATTCTACCATTTGACAAATTATAACAATTTTATAAAACTACCTTTAAAATGTGCTGTTGTGCCACAAAATAAGATAACTTTATAAAGTATTTATTGGTCTCTAGGTTATCACCTTGTATATATATATAAAAAACAAGTTTTGCAGACTTTAGAACTATTTAAAGTCAAGAAATAATTATTCTCTTCTTGCTGCCTAGTTGATTTCTTCATTGTGAAGGAAAGTCTGCCCCTTTAGGTCTGTACCAGCTTGTGGTTCACAGTGTGAGTGGTAGGCTACTGATGTTCTGCTTCCTCCTCTTAGCTTCTGTTATTGTTCTCTGAAGGAAGGCGGAGGCTTCTGCACTTTGACTCGTCTAATGTTTTCCAGTGTTTGTAGTTCTTTGCTAAGTGTTCCATCAGAATAGGTAGATGAGCAAATGCTGAGAGAGGGGAAAATAGTATGAATGCTATAAACCTTTAAAAACAAACATTCAAACTGTCATTGTCCCAAAACATTTTTGGAAGGTGAGTAGTTAGTTTTATGTAAACAATAATACAAGCCAAACAGGCAGCAAAAAGAGGCAGGTATGAAAACTTTTTAAGAACATTTGGATCGCCAACAAAATGCAGGCCGGAGAGTGTTTTAGATGCCAGCTAACCATCCATGTCCTTTTCCAGGAGATCTATTTAGGAATGGACAGGTCTATTAATCTGTCCACATTATTCTGGGGGGGGGGTATTTAATTTTTTTTTAAAGCACAGAAATAATATTCAAATATTTTTACGTATTCTCCCCAAACAAATTTGCATTTATAAATCTACTGTTATCCCAAAATAGAGCTTTTTCCAACACAGGTTAGTTTTTTAGCTAAAAATTGCATTATGATGATCAATTTCCTGAAGCTCCCCATAGTTCAAACGTGTTACTTTTTTGGAGCTGTAGTCCAAAAATAGTAACATTTCCAAGCTGTGAAGCATCCTAACACTGCTCCAGCTTCTTTCCTTTGCATTCATTCATTCATTCATTCATTCATTCATTCATTCATTCATTCATTCATTCATTCATTGAACTTGTATCCCGCCCATCTACTCTGGGCGGCTCACATCAAATAGAATAAAAACAGTTAACATATAACAACAATTTCACAACAGTGAACAATCATTCAAGATGGAGATAAAAGATAAATCAAGTGTTGCCCAGAGGGAAGGCCTGCCTAAATAGCCAGGTTTTGAGTTGGCTTTTGAAAATACCCAGCGAAGGGGCCAAGTGGATCTCGGAGGGGAGATTATTCCAAAGACCGGGAGCCACCGCCAAGGCGGCTTGGTTTCTTGCTTTTTCCTTCTGGGCCTCCCTCCTCAGCCACCCCTCCTGGCTAGAACGAGTGATACAAGTAGATCTAGGTGGGAGGAGGCGTTCTGCCAGGTATCGAGATCCTAAACCGTTTAGGACTTTATATGCAATCATTAAGACTTTGAAATCAATACGGAAACGAACGGCCAGCCAATGCAATGCGACCAGGGTGGGAGAGAGATGTTGATGTTATCTCACTCCACTGAGAAGTCTGACTGCTGCATTCTGCACCATTTGAAGCTTTCCCACAATCTCAAAGGTAGCCCCATGGAGAGCGCATTACAGTGGTGTAATCTCAAGATTACGAGCGCATGGACCAAAGTGGTGAGCGCCCCAACATCAAGATAGGGACGCGGCTGAGCAATCCGCCAAAGATGGAAATCCAGTGACGCCACCTGGGTTTCCATGGTGAGTGCCGGGTTCAGATGGATCCCCAAGCTGCGAACCTCACTCTTCGTAGTGAGAGTCAGCCCCCCAAAAGAGAGGGAGTTTCCCAAACCGCCAATGGCATTGTTTTCTTCCTCATCCAATAAGTTCATCAGCATTCTATGGTCAGTATATATATATTCAGTACGATCCCCCTCTCTCTGCTTTTCTGCTCTATCTTTCTGTGAAAACCTCAAGGTTGTTCCATGTCTCCTGTCCTTACACCTCCCTTTTTTGTGCTGATGCTTTCCTTTTAGTTACATAAAAAAACAATGAAAATGAGCAAACTGTAGAAAATAAAAGATTTAAAAACAGACAGGCATGCTCTCTTTTAAAGCAGATAACTGCCAAATACAGTTCCTATTAATTTGAATGCAGTTGCTATCTGAGAACAACTCAAAGTGATGTTGTAATTTTTAATGAATAGTTTTAAGGCCTCATTGGAACTCCCACAGAAATGTGGAAGTTGGAACTCAGACGGAAGGTACCCAGCTGAGTGTGCTTTAAGTTAAGTTTTATTATGGTCATAGACCCGAAAACTCAAAGATAAAAACATAATACAAGATATACAGAATAAGTAAGTTGTTATAACAAATCAACAGTATAAAACTTGAGTCAGGTGGTTGTCTTAATATAACATTTTATGAATTCTTAAAACTGAGAATAAAAACTTAGCAACCATGTTATTAATTGGTTCTCTCTCGACATCAGAAACTTCAGGTAGTCTGTGGGAGATATACTAGTACCTTTACACATTATTGGGTAGAAATAGTGGATATGTTAGAACCTATATAAGCTGCATTCTAGAATGGTGTGGGCACAACTGTTTCCTTTCTCCACAGGGAATGTTATTAAAGCACCCTTTTAACAAGGCTGAAGGAAAGCAATTAAACCTAACCTTTGAGAAGACAAAACAATACCTTGGTAGTGTAAGTAATTCGCTGACTTGGGAAAGTTAAAATTTAAACCAAAATACATTGGTGAACAGGTCCTGTCCAGCTGGGGGAACTTTGCAAAAATTGGAAGTGCTTCCCCCCTTTCCCCCTACTCTTGATTCACTAACAATACAACTACAGTGGTGCCTCGCAAGACGATTGCCTCGTGGGACGATTAATCTGCAAGACAATTAGTTTTTGCGATCGCTGTTGCGCTTCGCAAGACAATTTTTCCTATGACGATTTTCACAAGATAATGTTTGGGTCTATGCTTTGCAACACTATTTTTCTTAAGAGACGCTTTTTCGCAAGACGTTGTTTTTGACTGTTGGGTCCGTGACTCGCAAGAGGATTTTTTAACAGACACTTTTTCACAAGAAAAATGTTTTTCTATGATATTTATAAAGTTTTTTTATTTGACTTTGTTCTGACTTTTTTTGCCCATAGGAATGCATTAATTAGATCTCAATGCAGTTCTATGGGAAAACGCGTTTGGCAAGACATTTTTTTCTGCAAGATGACAATTTCCCCCCATTGGAACGCATTAATTAGATTTTAAAGCATTCCTCCTATGGGCAACTGCGTTTTGCAAGACGATGTTTTCACAAAACGACATTTTTCGCGGAACGAATTAACATCGTCTTGCGAGGCGCCACTGTATTTGGAGTGAGAGATTCTAAGGGGTCATCTTACCTGAACAATTCAATCTTCTTCTCACTAGCATGTATCTGACAGCATTCAGGCAACAGAGATAAGAGGATACACTTTAATGCAGAATCCTTGGCTAGATGGGTTTAAACTCACATACCCTACCTACTGTCTTTTTGGTGAAACCAAGAATTTTTTCTACAGCAGAAAAAAAACAAAAGTGGAATTTCTTACCATCCCAGGCATCAAACATGTCCATTATGAAGTAATCGATGAAGGATATTTGAGACTTTGGGATACTACAGGTATTTCTGTCAAATACTGGCATGACAACTGGTAAACCCTGTCTCTTTTCTTCATCAGTCTGTAGAAAAAGAGCAATTGGTTTTAGTTAAACTGCCAAACCATAGGAAGAATTAGGCCATTTAGTAGACAACATAATCATCCCACTATTCAGTCTAGACTGGAAACAGTAGACTTTCATGGCTAAATGAAGATGAACAACTTTCAATGGTAATTAAAACTATTGCACTAACCAAAACCATAGCAAAACAAAAGGACCGGTATCCCTTTTTTAAATGGAGGGGGGAAATAATTGGCGATCTGCAGACCAATGTTGTTTTAAGCCAAAACCTTATTTAGGCTTTCTAACTAGTTCAAGTAATCATGTGAGGGGAGTGTTTTATTCCTACCACTCACACATGTCAATGTCCTTATGTGGAGAACAAGTTTAAAACACATAGTTGATTAGCCACATGATAATGAACACTGATTTTCCATTCATTATTGTATGGAGAGCCTCTATGCTCTCCAGACAAGTGATCTCAAGATAAGAGGGGCATCAGAGGGGTGGGACTAAAGCATTACTCCCCTACTTGTTTACCTAAAAATTGCTGGAATATCTTAACAGGTTTTAAATACCGTATTTACCGGTGTATAAGGCGACTGGTGTATAAAACCACCCCCCAACATTCCCACTCAGAATGTAGAGTTTGTTTTATACTTGCTGTATAAGACTACCCCCTCTCCCGCATGCGTGATTCTGCTTTGGTTGCATCATGGGGAGAGTTCCTTTTGCCCCTTTTGTTTCCTTTTCGGAGAGAGCCAGGGTTTGCTGGAAGAAGGAACAGCAGAGAGGCGGCAGCCATTTTGGAGAGGTGGCAGCCATTTTGAGAAGCAGCAGCCATGTGGTCGCATTTCAAAATGGCTGCCTCCTCTCTGCTGTTCCGACAGTCAGCTGTTCGGCGCTAGAGTAGGGCTTTTCCCAGGCTAGGAGCAGGGCTCTACTTGGTCTTACTACCAGATAAGTGACTTTGCTGGGAGAGAGGGAGGGTTTGCTGGACATGCACCCGGCATACAAGACGACCCCCCCCCCACTTGAAGGCATGTTTTTCAGGGCCAAAAAGTCATCTTGTACGCCGGCAAATACTGTATCTTTGAAAATAAAAGGTTCCACACATCCGAAATACAAGTAGCATTTCTGTAACTTCACTGTAAGGTTTTGTGCTTAGATCACAAGAATAAGAACCTCAATGTCAGCCTCAATCTCTTAAATCAGTTGGACGTCAGGTGAGACCATTGAAATCAATCAGACTTCAGTTAATCATAACTCAAGTAGACTTCACTGATTTAAATGGATCTGCCTTATGCATGACTAAATTTGAGTTCAATTCATTGTACACTTTCTCCTTGAATTGCACAGTTTTCAGCAGCACAGTTTTGGATTTTTCCCCAATAAATAAATAAATATTTCAATAAGTAAATATTCAATAAATACTGTGCTGCTTATCTCCGGGAAAGGGCCTGGGAAAGGTTGAGGGAGGTCACAGTGGCATGCTACTCCATGGGGGGGGGGAAGAGTTTGTAGTTTGCACTTACATTTGAGAGGGTGTAAGAGTTATACATGGATTTTGAATGACATGAGGTTCCAGCGCCCTAACCCCAGCGCTTTTGAAGGGAAAAGTGTATTAGCTTATAGTATGCTAAAATTGCAATCTTACTGAACTGGAATTTGAAATAATAATAAATTCGTACCTGTGCAAAATACTCTTCTGAAATTCTCCCAGCCCACTCAATGCATAGTTCCAGAGGGCGACATGGATTTGCAACATCTGCACATTTAATCATCATGCGCTTGATCAGTGTCTGGTTGTCTGGATAGTTCTTCAGATTGGATGTACATTCACAGCTGCTACCCTCAATCTGGAAAACACATTTTCAGTTCCAGTCCTCATCAGCATGCCTGCTCACAATCATTGTTATAACCCTTTTGCATCATAATACAAATAACTAAGTGAGAAAACTGTTGTCTATAGGGACATTACTGTTAAAAATGAGCGTGTAAATTTTTTTCTTTTTATTTAAACTTATCCAAAGGTATTATGGTCTTATAACTGGAAAAAAGGTTCACAGCATCAGTGAAATTCAGTTAACCTCAATTTATTGTAAATACTGAATTAACAGAAACAAGACAAATGGGTTTCTAGTTAGATAGTAGCATGTTTTCTCAATGTTATGTTTTCAATGCTTATCCAAGCCCTTTGCACTGAATGCCATTGTGTGGGATTAGCACTATCTTTTCATTTTCCATATTTCTGTGCTAGAGAACAAGATTCTACGGAGATCTTAGCCCTACAATGTCCAGGGATTTCATGGCTCATTGCCAGAGTACATGATAAATATTGCAAGAATTTACAGACAGTGTAGATATATACATTGGGGTAGAGGTTCATTACAACAGTGTTCCCCAACCTTGGGCCTCCAGATGTTCTTGGACTACAACTCCCAGAAGCCTTCACCACCACCTCTTCTGGCCAGGATTTCTGGGAGTCGAAGTCCAAGAACATCTGGAGGCCCAAGGTTGGGGACCACTGCATTACAAGACAGTTCAATGGTAGAGCACATGGTAGATTATAGCAGGGAGTGGACCTAATGATGTGCTTTATGACTTCACTATGGATTTAACTTGCTAATTAACTACAGAGTGACACTATAAATAAAGAATCTTCCATTCCCAGTTAATACGTCTCCGGTTTCAGAACATAGCACAAAACAGCTATTGGCAATGATACAAGATTGGATGAAGTAATGGCATGATATGTTGGGTTCAACAATATGAAAGTACTACATGTGTTTTCATACGGTAGAAAGGCCTTGAAACAGAGTGAACACCATAATTTCTAAGGAATTTATTTCTATAATTGATTCAACAAATCTATTCAATTTTGGTAATATTTATAAAAACAATGGACAGAATTCTATTCAGGATTTATACCAGCATCAGTGTAATTCCAGAAATTGTGGCAGCTAACTAACAAGTCACTGCTTGCATGCCATTCCTGCCACATGACTAGGAACACAATCAGCAATTTGCTAATAAAAAGCCATTTGGTGTTGAGGTTCATGCAATTACATTCACACTGCTTAAAAACCCAATACAATTCTGGCCAGTGTCTGGGTTTAGAAGAAAACAGTGCAACACCAGTGCTTAAAAAAATTACAAGCATTGCAAAAGCATTAAAGAACCAGATCTTGGGGACCACTGCCTCCTGCATTTCGATTTGAAGACTAAAACACCCAAATCATTCTGCAAACCAAACAGTGTTATCCCACTTACGTTAGCATTGGTTTCCTCAGAAGCCATAGGCTTAGTGATGCTGTTCACAAATTTGTTTACATGTTCAAAGTGCTTCGTCATTTCTGTTGCCAAAACCATGTCAATAATTGCCTGACGAAGTGTTCGATAATGATTTCTGAAGAGGAAAAGCAATCCTTTCATGAGATATACATTCACAGAATCAACCTTCTCCTCTGGTCTCTTGTGGTTTCTCTGTTGACTACACAGGTACAGTATCAACTTAAAGAACAGCCATTAAGTGCAATCACATAACAGTTTTCTCAGCCTGGTACCTCCATATGTGCTGGACTAAAACTCCCAGAATCTTCTAGCTGTTGGAAGAATCTTCCAGAAAAGCACTCTTTTGCACCTCTTGCCAAGGATTCCCAATAGGGTCATTCTGGAAGTCAGAGTGGACTGCTAACCAGTGAAATAAATAGTTATCTCTCACTATCTTACTGCTTCTTCCTAAAGAGTTAAAGAATCAGCACTTCCTGTCTCCTCCTCTCATTCCTTTCTGAATTTCAAGCCATTGATCTCTCTCTCTCTCTCTCTCTCTCTCTCTCTCTCTCTCTCTCTCTCTCTCTCTCTCTCTCTCTCTCTCTCTCTCTCAATCTTAATTCCGGTTTGGGATTCATCCATTCCTCCCTTTCACATTATGTATTCTACATATAAGTTAAATAAGCTGGGAGACAATATACAACCTTGTTGTACTCCTTTCTTAATTTAAACCAATCAGTTGTTCCATATACAGTTCTAACTGTTGCTTCCTGTCCCACATACAGATTTCTCAGGAGGTAGATAAGGTGGTCAGGCACTCCCATTTCTTTAAGGATTTGCCATAGTTTGCTGTGCCATAGTTGAAGCCTTTTGCGTAGTCAATGAAGCAGAAGTAGATTTTTTTTCTGGAACTCTGTGGCTTTCTCCATAATCCAGTGCACGTTAGCAATTTGGTCTCCAATTCCTCTGCCCCTTCAAAATCCAGTTTGTACTTCTGGGAGTTCTCGGTCCACATACTGCTG